TGCTCAGCAGCTCATCTGTAATTTATAGTCCTGAAGAGCTGCCAGGGCCCTGAGAGGTTAAGTAACTTGCCTACCTATGGGTCACATGGCTGGTATGCATCAGGGGCAGGCCATATACCTACTTCTTCTTGATTTCAAGGCCAGTCCACCCACTATAGTCTCACTATTATTATTTGGGGGGGGGTGAGGAAATCGGGGTTAAGTGACTTGCCCAAGGTCACACAGTTAGTCTGTGTCAAGTGTTTGGTCTGAGGCCGGGTTTGAACTCAGGTTCTCCTGACTTCAGGGCCGGTGCTCTATCCACTGTGCCACCTAGCTGCCCCCTAGTCTCACTATTATAAATAATAATAATAATAAATTATCTGGTGCATCACAATGAATCTAGTTACTATGATGATTAAGGAGCAGCTAAGTGGAGAAGTGGATACAGCACTGGGCCTGGAATCAGGAAGACTCATCTTCCTGAGTTCAAATCCAGCTTCAGACACTTATTAGCTGTGTGACCCTGGGCAGGTCACAATCTCAGTTTGCCTCAGTTTTCTCAGCTGTAAAATAAGCTGGAGAAAGAAATGGCAAATCGCTTCAGTATCTCTGCCAAGAAAACTCCAAATGGGGCCATGAAGAGTCTGACATGACTGAAACAAACTTGTAAGAAAAATAGCACCTACCTCCTATAGTTGTGAGGATCAAGTGAAACAATGTATATATATAAAACGACCTTGCAAACTTTAAAGCGCTATATAAATGCCACCTATTACTATTAAACAGGAAGCCTGACAAGGATTATACTTGAAACCATAAACTTCCAGTTATTTCTTGGGGGGTTTTTAATGCATATTAACTTTAACAAAACAGTCCTGTTTGTTTCTCTGTCCCCTTCTAAGCATCTTCTTTTTCCTCTTTCTTTTCTCTGTATTCTTCTACATTTTGCTGTTTGCATAATTCACATAGGGCAGCTGGGTACTGCAGTGGGTAAAGCACTGGGCCTAGAGTATGGAAGACATGAGTTCAAATCAGGCCTCAGATACTCAGTGACCTCAGATACTTCTTTAGTTCTGAGCCTGGTTTACCTCTCACCTGCAGAGCTCAGGTCAGATGATCTCTTCAGAATTTATAGAAAATCACATTGACAAAGTCTATAAAGGAAAGACACAAATTTATAAGGGGAAGCACTTTTCCCAACTAGAAATGTGACCAATGCAAGTGAACAGTTCTCAAAAATAGGAAAAAAAACACCAATCACCCCTTGGAAAGGTGTCTGAACTCCCTAATAGAGAAATACAAACTTATTTGTATTAGTGACCATGACTTCCATGCAAAAAGAGAGGTAAAGGAAAAAACATGCAGAAATTCTGTGATCAGAAAAGAAGGGCCAGTTCCATATTTAGAGTGAGATTTGGGGGCATGGCCAAGGCAGGGATCTGTTTTGCTTCAATATACATATTTGTAATGGGTTTTCTTTTTTGTGCTTTCTTTATGAGTAGAGGAGGTAAAGATGGAAGGGAAAAGATTTGGAAATGAAAATGAAATGATTAAATTTTTAAAAAAAGAAAAAAAAGAGAAAAGGGGATGAGAGGAACCACCCAAATGCTGCACTGGTGCCCACAAACTGTTACAAGACCTACAGAAAGGTTGATCTTTTTTTTTTTTAACAGTTTTAAATACTTTTTTTTTTGGCAATTGGGGTTAAGTGACTTGCCCAGGGTCACACAGCTAGTAAGTGTCAAGTGTTTGGTCTGAGGCCGCATTTGAACTCAAGTCCTCCTGACTTCAAGGCCAGTGCTCTATCCACTGTGCCACCTAGCTGCCCCAAAAGGTTGACCTTTTTAATAACTGAAGAGTTAATAGTGAGGTGGGCAGGTCCTCAACAGGGAGCGATGGGAGGTCACAGACAAGAGTTGCACAGAATGAGAAGGCCCCAATGGGTTATGATCTGCCACACAGAAGGAAAATGAATTGAAGTAGATGAGAAATCTGTATATATCATGTTCTTTTATCTCTGTACTCTTCACTTTACATTATTTTTTTTGCTTTTTTTTTTTGATGAGGCAATTGGGGTTAAGTGACTTGCCCAGGGTCACACAGCTCGTAACTGTGAAGTGTTTGAGGTCAGATTTGAACTCAGGTCCTCCTGACTCCAGGCCCAGCACTCTATCCACTGTACCACCCAGATGCCCTAACTGGCCAGTAGGGCTTTATGATAATAATAGCTAAAATTTATGTAATGTTTTATGATTCGCAAAGCACTTTACCAATATTATCTCATTTGATTTTCACAACAAGGCTGGGAGGTGGGTGCTACTATCATTCCTACTTTATAGGTGAGGAAACTGAGGCTAAGATACATTAAGTAACTTGCCCAGGCACACAGCTAGTGGCTGAGTCAAGATTCAAACTCAGGTCTTCCTGATTTCAAGTCCAATACTCTATTCTTTCAACACCTTGCTGCCACATGCTTCTGTGAGGGGCAAGGTTGTCAGGGGAAATTATGATTAGCTCGTTAATATTGTCCTAAAACCAAGCAGGCCTCCAGGCTCCAGTGCTCAGTTGGGGCTGGCTCCCTACAGAACACACACCATTCAGGGCAGGAATTATAGACTGGGAGAGATGAGCTTGACCTTCAATCCAATTCAACAACCATTACACTTTGTAGGAGCAAGCCTTGGTGACTGTAGCTGATATCGACGGGCATTGCTGATGGTGACAGCTCTGCCTGTCATGGGCAGAGCCTAGGGAACAGCCCCTGACCACTCACCTCCAAGCAAGGACTGTATGATCCAGAAAACGAGCCCCACCCACTGTGGTCACACCCAGCTACTCCGTGCACCTGTATATTATCTGGCAGGACTATAGGGCACATGGAAGCCAGCTGTTGCAACTAGAGGAAACCAGGCCTTTTCTTCCTTGGCATGTGAGTTCTGCACGTCCTACAGAGGCAGCTAGGTGGCACAGTGGACAGACTGCTAGGTCTGGGGTCAGTTCAAATCCAGCCTCAAATACTTACTAGCTATGTGACTCTGGACAAGTCACCTAACCTCTGTCTGCCTCAGATTCCTCAACTGTAAAATGAAGATAATAACAGCACCAACCTCTTAGGGTTGTCATGAGGATCAAACAAAATAATATTTGTAAAGCATTTAACACAGTGCTCTGGTACCTAATTTGTTTTTTTCGGTCGTGTCCAATTCTTCATTTTCTTGCCAAGGATACTGGAGTGGTTTGCCATTTCTTTCTCTAGCTCATTTGACAGATGAGGAAACTGAGGCAGAGTTAAGTGACTTGCGCAGGATCACACAGCTAGTAAGAGTCTGAGGCCAGATTAGAACTCAAGAAGATGAGTCTTCTTGACTCCATTACGCCACCTAGCAGCCCTGGAGGGATATGACATGTGGACAAAAATCACGCTAGAAAGAAGAGTACGACCTGGACAAAAGGGAGATCTAAATAAAGTCCTCAAGAGAAGTGTGAAGGTGGGGGCAGCTAGGTGGCGCAGTGCATACAGCACCAGCCCTGGAGTCAGGAAGACCTGAGTTCAAATCTGCATTCAGACACTTGACACTTTCTAGCTATGTGACCCTGGGTAAGTCACTTAACCCCACTGCCTAGTCAAAAGAAAAAAGGGGAGGGGGAGTGTGAAGATGAGAGTGCTTTCAAAGAAGGCTTCCTAACAGACATGGCCCCTGACCTGAAGAGATGCATCATGGGGACAGCTTGTACAAACACAGGGCAGCAGGGGTCCAGTTTGGCTAAAACAAAGAGCACATGACAAGAAATAGAGAAAAGGCTGGAAATCAAGCTGGAAGGCCTCAAATGTGAGACCCCAAATATAAAGTACAGATTTTATCCTACAGCTCAGGAGTTCCCAACCTGGGGTATACCTGCCTCCCCCAAAAGCTTCTCAAAGCATATGGGAAATAGTTCACAAATAACGATATTATCCTACTCAAAATGATCTATTATGTGCATATGCACAGGAAACGCTAGAATTTATATCCTTTCAGATTGAATAGGGGTATAGAAAGGTTTATTGAAAGTGGGATGCGGGGGTGTCTGACACGGAAATGTGTTTTTTACATGCCTACACATACATAACCTATATCAAATTGCTTGCCTTCTCAATGAGGGAGAAAGGGGAGGGAGACAATTTTTTAAAACAAATGTTAAAAATTGTTTTTATATGTAATTAGGGGAAAATAAAATACTGAACACTAAAAAGAAAAGTAGGGGGATGGGACTGAAAAAGTCTGGGAACCCATACTAAAGGCAATGGGGAGAGCTGAAGGTTTCTGAGCGGGAAAGGGACTGGATCAAGCTATGCATTGGAAAATTATTTGGGGACTCAATGAAGAATGAATTATAGAAAAGAGACAGAAAACAAAGGAGGTCAATTAGGAGGCTATTGGAAAGAAGTCCAAGAAAGGTCCAGGAAGAAGTGATAATAGCTTTGATAATAACAATAATAATAATAATAATAGCTAACATGTATATAGTGCTTTAAAGTTTGCAAAACATTTATTTCACTTGATCCTTGCTATCACCCTGGGAGGTAGGTGTTATTGTTATCCCCATTTTAACACCTGAAGAAACTGAGTGTTCCCTAATGGGTATGATGGGGTTCCAAGAGTCTACTTACTAAAAACAATTCCAGAGGAATCAAGGTAAAACATGCTCCCCACTTCTTCAGAGAACTCAGTACAAATTGAGACATAATTTTTCTGGGCATGGCCAATGCATTAAGAATGTTTTACTATACATGTTTGTAACAGGGGTTTTGTTTTTTATTCCTCAATGGGGGGGGCAGAAGGGGGAGGAAGAAGCGAAAGGGAGAAAATTCAGATCTGAAAATGAAATTAAAAACATTTTTTTAAAGAGTCTCATGTCTTCAAGGATCAGTGGTCCTCAGGTTTTGGGTTACAAAAGCTGACAAGAAGTCTGCAGCCTGTGATGAATTTGACTCTCAGACACTTGTCTGAAACAGATACTTGACTCTTAGACACTTGTCCAAAACAGATCGATCCACAAATCCAACTTTATTTTGAGAAGCACAGACCTGGAGAACCAGACAACAGGGCAACCCTAGGATTCTTCCAAGGGCTCTCACCCACCATCTCACCCCACCCCCAGCCCTACTCTGACCCTAAAGAGAGCAAGCTGCATGTGAGAGATCAGATAGATGCCAGCCCAGCAGTGAGTGTGCCCTCAGCTCTCCAAGGTTTATGAATACCAGTCCTCATTACCACAACTGACATGCCTATCTAAACCACAGGGTGTCTGGAGCTCCAGATGACGGGGCCCAAAGTGTATGGCACCAAAGGCATTATTGCCCCTTTGAACTCCAAGGAGACATCTGTAGACCACTGATAATATTTTTGTGTTCTTCATGGCCGCGTTCACTTTATCCTGACTTTCTATCCCTTCAGTCTTAGCCCAGCCCCAAGAAGCAGCGATTAATTACTGTCTACATCAGGGAAGCAAATCCAGAAGTCAGGTTGCACGCCCAAATGTCCACAGCACTGGAATTCAACCTCAGCCCTGTGGCCTCTTCCAGAGGAGGAGGGCAGCCTCAGTGCATGGCTCCTCCTCCTTCCCCCACTGCACACACCTGCCCTCACTGCCCTGGGGAGAGTCAGCTCCTCTCAGCCCGATCCTCACACACGGAGGGCTGCAGTTTACTGTGGATAAAGTCCACCAACTTCCCCAACTGCTGCCCCAGCTTCTGATCTTCACCGTGGTTCTCAATGACCCAATCAAATGCTCCATAGTGATCCAGGCCGCATTCTGATTCGGCATCATCCACTCCTGTGAAAAGAGGCACAGGCAGGTCAGGTCACTCACTGGCTCTCCAAGGGTCAATCCATAAAATGCTGTCCCAGTGTTAGAAAGGACCTCAGGGGCCATCTGGTGCAGACAAGAATACACTCCACAACATTCTCATTAAGTACTCATAATAACTGAATAATAACCATGTAATGATAATTTACTTAAATATTATTTAGTTAATTTAATCATTAAATTATTGACCGTAATTCTCAACAGGTGACCATAATAAAAATAATTGTTGAGATTTCTACTTAAAGACCTACAACAGGGCAGCTAGGTGGTGCAGTGGATAGAGCACCAGCCCTGAAGTCAGGAAGACTCGAGTTCAAATCCAGCAACAGACCAAACACTTGACACTTACTAGCTGTGTGACCCTGGGCAAGGCACTTAACCACAACTGCCTAAAAAAAAAAAAAATAATATATATATATATATATATATATATAAAAATGTCTTAAAAAAAAAAAAGACCTACAATGATAGGTAAACCAGGGCCACATAAGATACTTCATTCCACTTTTGGCCTCCTCTCTAATGGACGGGACTGAAACTGTTAAAATCGAATCCAGTAATCATCAAAACAATCTCGTACTGACTGACTAAGAAATAGAAGGGGGCACTAGGTGGCACAGTGGATAGAGCACTGGACCTGGAGTCAGGAAGACCTGAGCTAAAATCTGGCCTCAGACACTTTCTAGCTGTGTGACCCTAGGCAAGTCTCTTAACCCTGTTTGGCCTCAGTTTCCTCATCTGTAAAATGAGCTAAAAAAGGAAATGGCAAACCACTCCAGGTATCTTTACCAAGAAAATCATAAATGAGGTCACAAAGAGTTGGACATCACTAAACAACAACAACAAATTAAGAGCAGTGGATCAGTGGAATAGATTAGGTATACAATACACAGTAGCAAATGATCATAGTAACGTAGTGTTTGATAAACCCAAAGATCTAAGTTTTGGGGGTAATAAATCAACACCTGACAAAATTGCTGGGAAAACTGGAATGCAGTTTAGCAGAAACTAGGCATAGACCAACCTCTCACACCATATACCAAGATAAGGTCTAAATGGATAAATTATTTCAACATAAAGGGAGATACTATAAGTAAATCAGGAGAGCATGGAAAAAATGTACCTGCCAGATCTATGACTAAAGTAAGAGTTTGACTAAAAAGGAGATAGAGAGGATTAAAGGAAGTAAAATAGATAATTTTGATTACATGAAATTAAGAAGCTTTTGTACAAACAAAATTAACAGACAAAATTAGAAGGAAAACAGGAAACTGGGGGGGAAAACTTACAGCAAGTTTGTCTGATAAAGGCCTCATTCCTCAAATATATAGGGAACTGAGACAAATTTATTAAAACGAGAGCCATCCTCCAGTTGATAAATGGTCAAAGGCTACAGGCAGTTTTCAGAAAGAGTAATCAAAGCTATCACTAGTCATATGAAAAAATGCTCTAAATCACTACTGATTAGAGAATTGCAAATTAAAACCACTCTAGGATACCTCTTCACATCTGTTAGATTGGTTAACATGACAGAAACGGAAAATGACAAATGCTGGAGGGGGTACAGAAAAACAGGGACATTACTGAATTGTTGGTAGAGTTGCGAACAATTTGCAAGTACGCCCAAAGGGCTGTAAAACTATGTATCATACCCTTTGACCCAACAATCCTACTACTAGGTCTGGAAAAGGACTTACTTGTATAAAAATATTTATGGCAGTTTTTTTTGTGGTGGCAAAGAGTTTGAAATTGAGGGATGCCCATCAACTGGGGAATTGCTGAACAAGTTGTGGTATATGACAGTGATGGAATACTACTGTGCTATAAGAAATGAAAGAGCAGGACAGCTTCAGAAAGACCTGAGAAGACTTACATGAACTGATACAAAGTGAAGTGAGCAGAATTAAAAGAATAGTGTACATAGTAACAGCAATGTTGTAGGGATGCTCAACCATAAAAGACTCACATACTCTGATCAGTACAATGATCTGACAGTCCCAAAGGACCCATCATGAAAAATGCTATCCACCTCCAGAGACAGAAATGATGGACTCTGAGTGCAGAGGCATACTTTTTTTAACTTCCTTTGTTTTCATTGTTTTATTGTGTTTGTGTTTTCTTTTGCAACATGGCTAGTATGGAAATATGTTTGCATGACTTCAGATGTATAATTGATATCAAATTGTTTGCTTTCTCAAGGAGGGTGGAGGAAAGGAATGGAGGGAGAGAATTTGAAACTTAAAATTTTTTTTAAAATAACTGTTTAAAAAAATTACATGTAATTGGGAAATATCTAATGAGAAAAATAATTTTTAAAAGAAAGAACTGAATTGAATCTGGTGTCTTGGCCTAGTCTGGCCTGTGAACAGAGTCTATTCCCTTATCTTTGTCCTGCCCTGCCTTGACCTCTCTGCCAAGAAGGAATCCCATCGCCCAAACCACAACAGCACCTCTATACCCCCTATGCAGAACTGCTGGTAAATCTGGTAAATTGACTAGTCAGTTTCCCACTCCCTTCTAACTCTGAGTGTTTTGTTATTGCCTCAAACTATAAGACCCTTGCCTCTGTTTTCCATTCCCCATTGATAATGGCAGGTCATAGTGGCCAGGACAGTTAAAACACACCAGTCCCCGCTCCAGTCCATCCTCTTCACAGCTGTCAAAGTGATCTTCTTGCTGATCATATCTCTCTGTCTCTGTCCCTCTCTCTCTATATCTCCCTCTCACACATACACCCCCGCCCCCATCACCTCCAGGATGAAATATAAAACTCCTCCGGTGTTCAAATCTCTTCATAACCTCTCCATGTACACACACCTTTCCAGTCTGTTACACCTTATACGCCAGCCCCTATTCTCTGTGATCCAATGACCAATGGTCTCTGCTGTTCCTACATTTCCCAACTTCAGATATTTTCCCTGGCCGTCCCCTCATCTCTACCTCCTGGCTTCCCAGGCTTCCTTCAAGTGCCAGCTGGTTAAAATCTACCTTCTACAGAATGCCTTTCCAGTCCTCATTAATCTTAGAGCCATCTCTCTGAAACTATCCCCAACTTATCTTTCTATACCTTTGTGCATTAGTTGTTTGCATATTGTCCCCCGTGTTGGACTATGAGCTTCCTCAGAGCAAGGACTGTCTTTTGCCTTTCTTTGTAAGCCCAGAGTTTACCACTGGGCCTGGCACATAGCAGGTGCTTAATAAATGTTTATCAACTGTTTCTTGACTGACTGACTGACTAATCCTAAATATCACTTTTTGGTATGAAGTTTTTGTATGAAATTCTCTGTGCCAGATTTCCTTGCCTTACTCTGGTTTGGGATGATATTAAAAAGCATTGGCCTTGCCTGGACAAAGACCAGCTGCTAAGGAGAGAAAAAGATCTAGATGACCGGGATGCCAGCCTAAGATTAAACATGCTATACATAATCCGTGAGGTGAAAACACAAGACTTAATTCTGTGTAGCCTTAGAATGCTAAGGGAAATAGTCAGAGCTCTCTTTCTGTCAATCATAGGATTTAGAGCTAGAAAGCACTCAACCTCCTCGATTTACCCTCAGGTAAACTGAGGCCCAGGGATATTAAGAAAGTAAAGGTACATCCAGAATTGCTTCCCGGTATCCAAACCTTGTCACAAATGGAAACTCATTTTAAAAAACACACATGGAAAAGGAAGCTCATTGTATGAAATGTATGAAAAGGTTATACCGTATCACTTAGTGGTATTACAAGTCGGGGAGAAGAGGCATTGCAGTAAGCAAACATTCACCATCAGAGAACAATGGATTTACAAACAATAACATATGGAGATGATTCTTTGTGTGAGTGGCAAAGCACTGCCTATATCTATCTCTTAAGCTGTAATCCTCATTTAATAAAGATACTTTTAATAAAAATTTGCATGTTTTCAAAATCCACCATCAACTCAAGTATTTTATAAACTGGGATCTTAGATTCTAGAGAGCAATTCAGAACTATGCCCATAGAGCTACAAAACCATGAATACTCTTTGACCCAACAATAACAACTACTAGGTCTGTATCTCAAAGAGATAAAAAAACAAAAAGGAAAAGGACCTATGTATACAAAAATATTTACAGCAGCTCTTTTAGTGGTGGCAAAGAACTGGAAATTGAGGGGATGTCCATCAGTTGAGGAATGGCTGAACAAGTTGTAGTATATGATTGTAGTATTCTATATGATTGTAATAGAATACTACTATGCTATAAGAAATGATGAGCAGGATGCTCTCAGAAAAACCTGGAAAGACTTACATGAACTTATGCAAAGTGAAATGAGCAGAATCAGGAGAACATTATACACAGTAACAGCAATATTGTATGATGATCAACTGTGAATGACTTAGCTGTTCTCAGCAATACAATGCTCCAAGAAAATTCCAAAGGACTTATGGTGAAAAATGCTATCCACCTCCTGAGAAAGATCTGATAGGGTCCAAATGCAGATCAAAGCATACTTTGTTTTACTTCATTTTTCTTGGGTTTTTTTTTGGGGGGGGGGTGTTTTCTTTCACAACATGACTAATATGGAAATATGTTTTGCATGACTACATATACATTACCTATGTCAAATTGTTTGCCTTCTCAATGTGAGATAAGGTGGGGAGGAAGGAAGAGAATTTGGAACTCAAAATTTCTTTAAAATGTTAAAAATTGCCCTTACATGTAACTGGGAGAAAATAAAATGTTAAATATTAAAGGAAAGAAAAAACAGTAAATAAAATTTTAAAAATTAAATGAAAAATTAGGGGTCTTAGAACAACTCACATTTAAATAGCTTATAGAAATAGCCCTTTCAGGACTACAAAGCAATTTCCTAGGTTAATCAAAGAAATTTAACTTTAACCAAAAACTCCCTTTGATGTGGCTAAGTAAACCAATCAAAATACCTCTAGAGGATAACTCTTTGATGCAGAGCACTGTGTTAGGTGCTGAGGAAGATATAAAGTTAAATATACATTCTTTGTCCTCGTGGAATTACAGTGCAACATGGGCTGAAAGGTACTTGCATTTTGCTTGAGTGATCTGTAACACTACACGACCATAATACAAAATATTTTATGAAATTTAAGAGGAAAGAGCATTACTGATGAGGAACACGGCAGGACATCTTCATGGCAGAGAGGAAATCTGAGTAAGACCTGAAAGCAGGAGTTCTTAACTTTTTTGTGTGTCATGAATTTCTTCTTAGAAAAAAAAATGTCTTGAAATGCATAAAATAAAAATACTTAGAAATACAAAAAAAGAAAGATCTAATTTTTTTCCCCATCCAAGTTCACAGACCCCAGAAATCTATCCTATAAATATAAAATATGTTTTATAAATCGGCATTTTAGGACAACAAATCGAATTTATGTTGCTCTTTCAAGCATACGAAGCAATTTCCTGAGTGAATCAAAGAAATTTAACTTTGACCAAGAACCCCCTCTGGCATGGATAAGTCAACCAATCAGACCACATTTATTAAACAACCACTGTGGGCAGAACATTTAACTCCTGGTTAAGAATTCCTGTTTTGAAGGCTAGGTGGAAATTTAACAGACAAAATGGGAAAGGGAGGACATTCCAGCCCTAGAGAACACCATGAACAGAGACGTGGTGGAAGGCTGGAGGGCTCAGAATATGCTCAGAAGGCAGAGAGATATGGATTTTGACTGGAGATTTGACTGAGTATTTTCTCTTGCTCTCTCCCATTCCCGGAACTCTCCTCTCTCTGCTCTGACCACTGACCTCCCTGGCTTCCTTTAAGTCCCAACTAAAATCCTACCTTCTATAGGAAGCCTTCCCCAACCTCTCTTAATTCCAGTTTTAATGATTTCTTATTTATCCTAGATATAGTTTGCTTTGTATAGATTTGTTTGCATAGTGTCCCCCCAATTAGACTGTAATCTCCTTGAGGGCAGGGACTGTTTTTTGCCTTTTTTTATATCCCCAGCTTAGCAAAGTGCCTGACACACTGTAGGTACTTAATAAATGTTCACCAAATTGTACTGAATTAAAGAGTAGTTTGTAAAAGGAATTAACACAAGGCAAGGTCGGAAAGCTACAGAGACACAGGGCAAGAAGGCAGAACTTCACCTGGGAAGCAAGGGCTCATGGAAGACTTCTGAGCAAAGGCGTAGTATGCAACACTCACTAGCCATGTGACTCTGGGCAAGTCACTTAATTCCAATTGCCTCACCAAAAAAAAAAAAGGAGTAGTATGATTAAATCTGTACATGGGAAAGATGATGTTAACAGTGATGTGAAGTATGGACTGAAGGAAGGAAAGAGTGAAATTGAGAAAACCTGCTAGGAAGCTCCAGCTCCTGAGAGGGTAAGCAGTAGCAGCAGCTCATAAAGGTTAAGTACAAACAAGCAGGAGTGTGCAGAGTAACCTGAATCAAAGGCAAAATCCAAGCACTGTGGGGCAGGGGCCTTCCCAAATTTAAACAGTCTGCACACGGTGGCTAGTGCACCTTCCTACCCAGAGGCAGGGAAAGAGGAGCCTGGAGTAGGCACAGAATGTGAATAAACTCCTATCCCACCCCAAACAACCACCACCATCATCATTTCTTTTCAGGAGACACACTAGAAGCAACAAAGTCCTTTCCAATCAATCAATCAATATTTATTAAGCACCTACCACATGTCAGGCACTGTGCTAAGTGCTGGAGATACAAAAAGAGGCAAAAGATAGTCCCTGCCCTGGAGGAGCTCATAAGCAAACAAACGTACACAAAGCAAACTATATACAGGATAGATTAGAAATAATTTACAGAGGGAAGGCACAAGAGGCAAGGGGGTTGGGGAAGGCTTCCTGTAGAAGGTGAGATTTTAGTTAGAACTTACGCCAGGTAAAGAAGAAAAAAAGAAGCCTCCGGGAGGTCAGTAGGAGTACAGGGGGAGGGAGAACATTCTAGGCATGGGGGGGCAGCCAAAGAGAATGTCTAGAGGTGAGAGATGGCACGTCTTGCTTGAAGAACAGCCAGGAGGCCGATGTCACTTGTACTTGGCCTTCCAGGCAGCCATGCATGATACGGCAGAAAAAGGACTGAATTCGGAACCTGAAAACCTGAGTTCAGGTGTTGGCTCTCCCATTTACCAGCTGTGTGATCATGAGTGAGGAAGGCCTCTGGAGGCAGACCCTCTGAGCAGAGGATGGGCAGGCATGGACAGGCTGCCATCTTCACCATTGGAGGGACCTCCCAAATCGATGAAATCACAGAATGACTTAAGTATCTGAGTGACAGATGGGGAGCTGTCTCACCTCTGTGGGCTTGTTTCCTCGTATGTAAAATGAGGGTACTAATACCTACATTATCTAACTCCCTGTTAGGCTGTTGTGAGCAAAGTGTTTTGCGAAATTCAAAGTGTTGTATAAATGCAGACTGAAATTATTGTTGGGGGACATAGTATCCACACCATACTAGGAGGCCAAGCTGTGAAGGAGATGATGCACTGCACCTCTTTAGGTCTGCTGGATAGGACTTCAAAAAAAACTGGGGCAAAGCTCACCTGCTGTGAACACCCAGCCCCGCTGCTGCCGGCTTTCCTCTGACGCCACCACTCGGACCAGCTGGGTCACATCACCAAAGGAGGACTGGAACCACTGAATATCTGACACCCGCCGAGCATCGCTCACCACCTGAAAGAAAGAACACACAGTCAGACAAACCCCAGGCCTGACATGCGTGCCATATTAGGTTTGGGGAAAAAAGAAAGAGAAGGGAAGGCAAAAAGAACTGAAAGCCATAGTCCCTCCCCTCCCCAACAGTAGTTGGGGAGTCAGAGACTCCAACATGTCTGCAGACATCCCTTAAAGCAATCTGCTTACTTACCAAATTCTAATCTTAGATGCTCAAGTTCAAATGCCACCTTAAAATCTAACAGGGGTGACAAAAAACCAAACTATATACAGAATAAATAGGGGGAAGGGCACAAGAATTAAGAGGGACTAGGAAAGGCTTCTTGTAGAAGGTGGGATTTTAGTTGGAGCTTAAAAGAAGCCAGGGAGGTCAGTAGGTGTAGCAGAGGAAAAAGAACATTCTAGGCACGGGGCACAGCCAGAAAAAATGCCTGGAGCCAGGAGGTGGAATGTCTTGTTCATGGAACAGCCAGGAGGTCAGTGTCACTCGAACTCTTGGCCTTTGAGATAACTGGGCATGGTACAGCAGAAAAAGCATTAGATGGTTTCTCCCAACTACCAGCTGTGGGATCATGAGTGAGGAAGGCCCCTCCCCCCCCAGGGAGAGATCATGGGATATCGATCTACAAGGAACCTCAGAAATCATCGAACTTTAGTTATTTTATTTTACAAATGGGAAAACTGAGGTATGGGGAGGTCAGGTGAATTGCCCAAAGTCAACTAAGTAGCCAGACCCAGGAATAATAGATTAAAATTGATGAGAATTTAAATGCATCAAGTCATCAGTCACTACATAATGCCAGGTTCGCTCTCCCTATAAGGCTGAAAGCTTTGTTGACAAGCTCTTCCACTCTAGTGTCCCATACTAATGCTTTTCACTAATTAACACCAGGAGCCAGCAGGAGCACAGTGCAGGCCCAGAGAGGATGGTCATGAGTGTTAACTAACCACCCAAGGGCAACAGCAAGTTTCTTCCCAGCAAAAGATCCTGGTACTCTTGGAAGACCTGTATCTTCAACAGCAACAAAAATCTACTCTGGTTTTCTCTTAGAGTCTTGACATTTATCCACTCAGCAATAACTAATATAAAAAGCCAATCTAGAACCTCCAGCCTAGAACATTCACATGGCAGTCATAGCTAGGGATTCTGGCTCTTAGGATCCTAACTAGGGGCTGGAAGGAGCCCCAACCTCTTCGTTTTACAAATGAAGACCCTGATTGGCTACAGAGGTCAAGAGAACTCAATTAAAGATCAGGAGCAGGGTTTAAACTCACATCCTCTGACTTTGGAGCCTGGGCCCTTTCTACACTCCCATGTTGCCAATCTACGAACACAGGCCCTGCAGGACTCCTGGCCCTGCACACTCCAGCTGGCCCACCAGTCAGCAAGACCATGCTAGTCTCACTTTGTGCCACTGTGGGACTCTACACGTGGGACTCGCTCCTGGATGAGGGTGCGGCCCTCTCCTTTCCCTGGGAGAGATCTCTTGTATTAAAAAGAGAGCTCAAACTATGGAGGCAGTGGACCCTGAAGGAAGCCAGGAGGCAGAGGTAAGAAGGGACAGCATTCCAGGGGTGAGGGACAGACAGAGCAAAGAAACAAAGTCAGAAGATCGTGGCATAAGTGAGAACAGCAGAAGACCAGTGCAGCTGGATCACAGAATTCATGCACAGGGGTAAAGTGTTCAACTGGAAAGGTAGGAAGGGACCAGGTGGTGAAATGTAGTTAAGTGCCAAACTGATCCTGGAGGTAAAAGGGGGCTGATGAAGTATATGTCGTCCTGGGGTCAGGAGGTGGGAAAGAATGACACAGTCAGACCTGTGCTTTAGGGAAATCCCCTTGGCAGCTGAGTAAAAGATGGACTGAAGTGGGAGAGCCTGAAGGGACCAGACAGAAGGCTGTCATCCAGGTGTGAGGAGGCCCTGTACTAAGGCGGAAGCTGCAGGAGTGGAGAGAAGAGTACAAATAAGATAGATGGTGTGAAAAGGAAAGCAAGAACTGACAGAGATGGTACCTGGGTTGACTGCGAATGAAGAAATGAGGATGACACCCGGGTCATGAGCCCAGGTGACTGAAAGAATGGTGGTGCCTTCAACAGGAAAGTTGGGAAGAAACAGGAGTTTTTTGGGGAAAAATAATGGGCTCTGTTTTAGACCTGTTGAGCATGAAATGCCTACGGGACATCCAATTCAAGATGTCTAAAATGCAAATGGTGATGACAGACTGCAGCTTGAGAGATTAAGGACCAACAAAGAGACCTAGCAATCATGGAACCCAGGGGAGCTGATGAGATCACCAAGTGAGAGGCTGTGGAGTGAAAAGAGGACCCGGGACAGAGCCTTGGGGGCCACCTAGAGTTAGCAGGATGAAGATCCAGCAAAGGAGACTGAGGAGAGGTCAGAGGGCTAAGCGGAGAACCAAGAGAGGGTAGTGTCATGAAAACCCAGACAGGAGACATTATTCAGGAAGAGAATGATCAATAGCGTCAATTGGACCAAAACTGGCCTCTAACTTGTGGGTGGCCAGAGCCGAACAAAGCAGGCTACAGACTGGAGAGTCAGGAATCAAGCAGAAGATTAATTTCAAAGCAAGGAAAATGGCTTGCAAGCCAGGACACATGCAGAAGCCCCACCCCTAGTGGAGGGGCCACGGCAATGTGGGGAGATCTCAGTATTTATACCAATGGCTACACAGTGAGCTGTAACCCTGACAATGAGGGATAACAGCAATAACATGACAAGTTTGATTCATAGCAAGGCTTCATGACCAGAACGTGGGCACTACAGGTGCTTGTCCAAGCACAGAGACCACCTGATGCTGGTGTGAAGCTATTCTGGGACTTTGCTGAGGCAGAGATCATCCACAGAGTGAGGGGAAAGGGTTGTTATAATCTTGACAACAGTGTCAAAAGCTATAGAGAATTTAAGAATGACAATTAATAAAAGATCATTAGATGTAGCACTTAAGAAATCACTGCTAACTTCAGAGAGGACAGTTTTGGTCTAATGAAGGCAGAAGCCAGATTGCAGAGGGTTTGGAAGTGAGAGAAAAGACAGGAAGTGAGGGTTCACAGGGGCCACGCAGAACAAGCTTGTCATCTTCCATATGAGCATCCTTTCTTTCCCCTCCAGAAGAAGCATCCCTAGTTCAGCTGATTTTCCTAAGATATAGTCTTTAGTTCCTCCCCCATCCCAATCTTTCTCCTTGGGACATTTCCCAATATGATCCCTGAAACATGCCTAGAACCAAGCATAATACTCCAGATGTGATCTGAACAGGGAGGGGGTACAGGTTCTATGTGCCTTATCCCACATTAGACTGGAAGTTCCATGAGGGCAGGGAATGTCTTATTTAACTGTGTACCTCCCCTAGCACCCAATACAATACTCTGCACCAGAGAGTTGTCTAATAAAAGGTTTTTAATTGGTTGACTTGTCCATGTCAGAGGGAGTTTCAGTCAAAATTAAATATCCTTGAAAAATTGAGGAAATTTCTTTGTAGGCCTTAAAGAGCCAGGTAAATATGAGTCTTCTTATACTTTACTCCCCCTCTCAAATGGAGAGGGGATCTTTCTCTTTTGCCAAGGCAAATCCCAATTCATGCACCCTTAATCCCTTTCTGTCATCAACAATTATCAACCCATTACCATCCTCACTCTCCCCTATCTTCAACCTCTCCCCATCTACTGGCTCTTTCTCTGCTGCCTACAGATATGCTCATGTCTCCCCCATCCTTAAAAAACTTTCACTTGAACAGACCATCCCCTGGAGATATCATCTTCTTATATCTCTCTTCCCTTTCTCAGCTAAACTCCCTTAGTTTAGTATTAGTCAGAAAGTCTAGAAAATTAAGTTTTTAGAGGACAGGGTACAACAAAAAGCAGCATGGTGTGTATAATAGAAAGCCAGCCTCCAAGTCAGGAAAGATCTGGGTTCAAGTCCTGCTCCTGACACATACTGGCTATATGAACCTGGACAAGTCATTGAAACTTCTTTGTGCCTCAGTCAGCTCTCCAAGATTACAGGGCATGTGTCAGTCTGCCCAACTGCACTGTTAGAAGGAGTTTCTTCATTGAAATTTCCCTTAGCAGGCTATAAAACTATACATAGCCTTTGATCCAGCAATACCACTTCTAGGGTTGTATCCCAAAGAGATCATACAAATGGGAAAAGGACCCACATGTACAAAAATATTTATAGCAACTCTTTTTGTGGTGGCAAAGAATTAGAAATTGAGAGAATGCACATCAATTTGGGAATGGCTGAACAAGTTGTGGTATATGAATGTAATGGAATACTATTGTGCTATAAGAAATGATGAGCAGGCAGACTTCAGAAAAACCTGGAAAGACTTATATGGACTGATGCTGAGTGAAGTGAGCAGAACCGGAAGAACATTGTACACAGTAACAGCCACATTGTGCGATGACTAACTTTGATAGACACAGCCCTTCTCAGCAATGCAAGGATCAAAGCCATCTCCAAAGGTCTCATGATGGAAAATGCTATCCACATCCAGACAAAGAACTATGGAATCTGAATGAAGATGGAAGCATACTATTTGCTCTCCTTTTCTTTTGTTGTTTTGTTTTGATTCTATTCTTTCTCGTAGTTCCTCCCATTGGTTCTAGTTCTTCTTTAAATCATGACTAATGTAAAAATATGCTTGATATGAACGTATATGTAGAGTCTATATAGGATTGCATGCCATCTTGGGGAGGAGGGAGGAAAGGTAAGGGGAGAAAATTTGGAACTCAAAATCTTATGGAAGTGAATGTTGAAAACTAAAAATTAATAAATCATTTTTAAAAATTAAAAAAGGTAAGTTCCCTTTGCCAGTGAAATCATACACACACACACACACACACACACACACACACCACACACACACACATGCATCCCAAAAAAAAGAACTGAATTTACAGACCAGACAACTAACCATTAAACATGGAACTGTTTTTTCATTTTTCAAAAGGCAGAACCTAAGGACCAGAAATTAGGCAAGGCCTGGGACCTTAAAGTACAAACATGGTAAAGCAGAAAAAGAACACTGATTCTGGAGTCAGAGGACACAGTTTCAAATCTTGCCTCCACCATTTAGCTGATGTGTGACTATGAAAGTTGTTTAACCTCCCTGGGCTTCAGTGTCCTTACGTGTGAAAAGAGAAGTTGGATGAAATGGCCTCTGAAGGTCCCCCCCTTCCCCCGAAGTCCTCGATTTATGATCCTATAATCTGTTCTCAACTGTCGCCAGCCCACATTCTCTTCCCTGATGTCCCTGCTCAGCAGAAAGAGAAACATGCAGTAGTGGATAAAGCACAAGTCTTGGGTTCAAGTCCAACCTCAGACACTGACTAGCTCTGTGACCCTGAGGGTATTTATGGTCAACTGGGACCTTGAAGTGAGTTTCATAAGTAGGCTAAGTAGAACTGTGCCCACTATCACTCATGTAGATCCTGTTCAGCCACATCCAGTGTCTGGCCCCAGATGGCCCCCACTCGTGTATTGTGTCTAGAACAAAGGATTATATAAAGAGAGAACTAATGGAATCTAATTTTTAAAAAAAGAACCTTTTTTAAAAAAACTTAACCTCACTTAACCTCTCTCAGTCTCTCTCTCCTAGTCTGTTAAAATGGGACTCAAAATAGCTCCCTCCCCACAGGGCTATAGTAAGAATCAAGTGAAATAACATATGTAAAGAGCTTTGGAAACCTTAACAGGCTTATGTAAATGGGAGGCTATTAGAATTCAGACTACTCATTGGAAGGACAAATACTGAAGCTTAAATACTTTGGCCACATAATAAGACAGGACTCTTAGGAAAAGATCCTGATACAGGGAAAGCTTAAAGGCAAACAGAGAAGCGGAGAGCAGAGGTTGACATGGATAGATAGTGTCAGGGAAGCAAAGAACCAGAGCTTGGGCAGACTTCAAGAGATAGTGGAGGACAGAAGAGCCTGGCGTGCCGTGACCCGTGGGGTCACAAGGAGTTGGACCCGACTGAATGAATGAACGACAATTCTTATGAGCTTGAATCCTGTCTCAGGCATTCACTTGCTAGGTGAGCCTGGGCAAGTCAATTAACATCTACTTTGGTTTTCCTCATCTGTAAAATGGGGATAATAACTGTACCTCCCTTACAGGGTAACTGTGAGAATCAAATGAGATAACATATGTAAATCAATTTCCAAACCTTAAAGCCCCATATAAACGTTAATTGTTATTAGACTGTGAGCTCCTCACCAACAGGAACTATGCCTCATATCCCTCAGCACAGTGCTGGACAGTGACACAGCAGGTGTTCAATGAATCCCTCCGGAGAAGAGTTAAGTGTGTGTGGCCCTCCTGGGTCCTGGCCCCCATAGAAGGTACATGAGCAGGAAGAAAGGAGGGGTTCAGAGGAAGGAAGAGATGCAGTTTCTGCCCCAGGACCAATCTGCTACTTTCAACCACATTCTGCACTCTAGGGATAGCTGGGTGGGGAGCCGGGGGGCGGGGGGGGGGGCTGGCGGGGAGGAGAACGAGGAAAGGACCAAGGCTGGGTCTGCAAGCCCCAAAGAACCTTCTGAAATACAGCTTTCGCAATCGCCCTTACCCAGACAGGCTGGGGGACCCCTTCCACAACCTTCCTGCAGAAGAAGCCTGGGTCCTCCTTCCTCTTCTCCTCTCCCCAGCGGATCATGTCCTGCCGAAAGGCCTCTTTGTAGTTGCTGGCATCAAGGAGTCGCTGGAAGTCCAATCCATGTTCCTGCTCAAAACATGTCAAAAAGCATTCACTGTGTGATCCTCCCCCCCAGAGGCCACTCCACCTCCAGGGGCTCGGCTATAATGAGGGGCGATCATTCCTGTCCCTTCCCACCCCTGGGAGGACATGCCCCTCCATTTCCATCTGTCTGGGGAATATATTGTGAGAACTAAACACACATCTTGTGTGATCAATCTTCCCCAATTATTCTGGAAATAAATTTCCCTCTCCTGAATAGAGAGCCAGGCCTCAGCAAAACATCAGAAAGGGAAAAATTCATCTCTGGGGCCTTCCCTAATGTTGAAACACTGCTCCCCACCCCAGCTCCTTCCTAAAATGCTGCTATTCTCTGAGGATTCTTTAGTTTTAACACAGGATGCCTGAAGACAGAAAGCCTTCCAAAGCAGCCTGATGACCTTATTTTACAAGTCAGGGCACTGAGGCTCAAAAAGGTTATATGCTTTAGGATCAGAATTAAATGGGAGGGGCAGAAAGGTGGTGCAGTGGATAGAGCACTCGCCTAGGAGTCAGGAGGACCTGAGTTCAAATCTGACCTCAGACACTTGGCATTTATTAGCTGTGTGACCCTGGGCAAGTCACTTAACACCAATTGCCTCACCAAAAAAAAAAAAAAAGAATTAAATGGGAGCTTGAAGGCCCCTCAGAGGTCAGTTAGTCCAACTCCTCCATTTTAAAAACAAGGAATCTGAGCCACAGAGATGAAGGGACTTATCTTTAATACACAACATAATCATCAGTGGCAAAATTTGAACCCATGTCCTCAGCCTCCAGTTGGGACCCATCCTACCATACTACACTTGTGCACGGATGCACAGAAAGTAATCACCAAGATTCACATCAAGACTTTAGCAATGCCCTCATCAGACCACATCTGAAGTCTAGGTCCCATTCCAGGGGGACATTTTAAAAGGGAAACTGATGAACTGGGGCACATGTGAAAGGTTTGGAAATTATATCATGTGAGAAGCTGAAGGGCTGGATTTGAGCCTGGCTCTGGTCCAGTGACTAGGGGATGGCGGGGGGGGGGGGCAAGTCCACCCTTCACCTCAGAGCCAAAGACTCCTCCTCTGTAACCTGAGGGAGGTCAGAGCAGCTCTGAAGTCCCCTTCCAGCTCCTACAGTCCTCTGACTCTATGACCCAGCATGCTCAGCCTGGAGAAGGGGAAAGGGGAACACGAGAACCGCTCAAGAAATTGAGAAAAAACTAGAGTAGCAGACTTGTTCCTTATTACTCTAGAAGACAGACAGAGATAAAAACACTCTAGCAAACAGGGCTGCCCTCTGTGGGGTGGGCTAGAGGGAAAGCTAACCAGCATCCTCCTTACCCCTGGTTGCTGTTCAGCTATTTCAGTCACGTCTGATTCTTCATGACCCCGCTTGGGGTTTTCTTGGCAAAGATACTGGAGTGGTTTTTACCATTTACTTCAGCTCATTTTACAGATGAGGAAACTGAGGCAAACAGGGTTAAGTGACTTGCAAAAAGTAACATAGCTAGTGAATGTCTGAGGGCCACATTTGAACTCAGGTCTTCCTGACTCCAAGCCCAGCACTCTATCCACTGAGCCACCTAGCTGCCTACCTAATCACTGCATGTACTTAATGGTTGCTTGTCTTTCATTCTCACACAGGACCATGGCATCAGGAAGGTTCAGAGGCTGGGTGGTCACCAGTGACCAGAAAGTTGGCCCAGATCAATCAATCCATGCATTAACAAGCATTTATATACACACACCCACTCACAGATTTTATACATGAGTACACATGTATTTTACATGTGTGTGGGATACATATATAAATGTGTACAGGATATACATATAAATGCATTGTGTGTATGCTTATATATTGTGTGTATATGTACACCTGTGTGTACATGCACATGTATATTTGTACATACATGCATAGGCCCAAGGAAGTTCCTTACACATATATGTGTGCACGCTTACACACACACATATCCAGGGTGCTCCTAAAATTCTTAGTGCATTTTTTTTCTGTTTTTTTCTTAATGCATTTTTAAATTATTAAAGCCTTCCACCAATGAGGTTTGGTAGAAGAGTACTAGACCAGTCCCTTTTTTTCCCTTTTTCTTTGAGCCAGCTGGGTGGATAGAGTGCTAGACCTAGGAGACCTGTATTTGAGTCCTGCCTCAACACTTACTAGCTGTGTGATCTTGGGCAAGTCACTTAACCTTTCTCAGCCTCAGTGTCCCCATCTGTAAAATAGGAGCAGCCAGGTGGAATGCTGAATAAAATACTGGGCCTGGAGTCAGGAGGACCTGAATTGAAATCCAGCCTCAGACACTTACTAGCTGTGTGACCCTGGGCAAGTCACTTAACCCTGTTTGTCTCAGTTTCCTCATCTGTCAAATGAACTGGAGAAGGAAATGGCAAACCACTCCAGTATCTTTGCCAAGAAAGCCCCAAATGGGATCATGAAGAGTCAGCTATGACTAAATAATAACAATATAGGGATAATATTAGTCTCCTAAGGTCGCTGTCAGAATCAAATTAGATAATAATTGTAAAGCACATTGCAAACCTTAGAGCTGTTTATAAATGCACTCTATCAGCATATAGCTATATGGAAAATAAACACAAGGTCATTTGGTCAGGGAGGCTCCAGAGAATCCAAGAAAGGCCTCAGGTAGAAGGCGGCACCTGGAGCTGAGCTTTGATGGAAACTAGAGATCCTAAGACGCAGAGCTAAAAGAGGAAGAAGTACATTTGAGGCACAGGCAATGGCCACGGCAAAAATGCAGAGGCGGGAGTTGAGACTTTGGGAAGGGAAGGAAGGAAGGCCAGTTAGACTGGGCTGTGGAATGCATAAAGGAGAGCAATATATGATAAGGCCGGAGAGGTGGCCTGGAGCGAGATGATAAGGGGTGAATGTCACTGTGGGAGTTGAGCGGAGGAGGGGCTGGAGAAGTGAGACTTGGACAGGTGACACACACCCCTAAGGTCCCGTCCAGCTCATAATTCTATTAACAGCTCTCCAAAGATGGCATCTCAAGCACTGCGACAGAGCTTGGGCGGAGGGTCAGGCGCTGACCATTGCCCCACCAGTGACACTGACGTAACAAACCTTTATTGGGCCCTGAAGGAAGCTTGTGGGGCTGCCATCAAGGAGCTGACAATCCAACACAGGAGATAAGAGCTACCATGTGGCTTTTCCAGAAATAAATTAGTCCGTGATAACTGCCACCAGAAAGGGACAAACAAGGTGCTCTTTTGAAAAAGGAGAGTTGTTCACTTCTGGCTGAATAGAGGAAGACCAAGGAAGGCTTCATGAAAGAGGTGACATCTGGGCCAGGCCCTGGAGGAGGACTATGACTCTGACAGGCACAGACCTGGTGGAGGGCAAAAGCAAAGGCATGGGGGCAGGAAAGTACCAGGTGTGTTTGGGGAACTGTGAGCAATGGGAGAGATTTCAATACAGGGAGAACAACATGCCTATTGTATGCCAGGTATTATGCAAGGTACAGAAACAAAAATGTAGTCCCTGCCCCCGGGAAGTTTATGTCCACTTGGGAGCAGGGAGGAAATAAGAAGTTACTGGAGTTTTGTGAGCAGGAGGGTAAGGCATCATTCCCCTCCAGCCCGCACTCCTAACTCTCCAGGCTTTCTCCACCACGTGTCTATGAGGATACTGCCCCTTCCCAGCTACCTTTCACAAACTGTCTTCTCTCCATTAGAATGGAAGCCCCTTGAGGGCAGAGACACAGACTGTCTTTCCGCTGGAATCTGTATCGCCAGGTCTTACTTAGCACAGTGCCTGGCACACAGAAAGCATTTACTAAATGCTTGCTGACTTGACTTAAAAGCCTGTCCTGCCTGAAGGCATACCACCTAACAGAAGTGAAGCCCAGAAGTAGGCTAGGGCAGGCAGACACCAGCCTGAGATGAAAGACATGTTACAGCTTACCTGCAGATGAGCATTAATTAACAAGCTGAGCTGGAAAATTCAGGGGCGAAGCAGATATATGACATACCTGGGCGTACTGCTCCTTCAGGGGTCCAGAGAGCCGAAGCACAGCACACACATCCGTCCCCAGCCTGTGGGATGGGAAGACACCCCCCCAAGGCCAGAACTGGGTTAGCTCACTTCAACCTGCATCTCCCCACCCAGTGTTCTGCTCCACCTTCAAGCCAACACTTGTACCTTTAGGACAGCCCAGCACCTACCACTCCCCTCTGGCAGGACTGAGTTACCCTTGCAAGATACACTCCATAGACTCTTCCCATAACCTGGGGAGCCCGTGACTCCACCAGCTACCTCACCAGCATGAGAGATTCAGGCTAGAGAAAAGGAAAAATGTCCTGCTGGTGAGAGCTGTTCAAAATGATGTCACCATAGGAAGCTAGCTATGAAATATGTTTTTCCAAGAACTCTCTCATCAAAATGGGGGGCTCCCAGCCTCAAAGAGATGACCTGTATGTACTTAGTACCTAGACAGGGAGAGAGGGGACCAGACCCTAATTTAAGTCCCAGCTCTGCTGCCACCCTGGGGCAGGGCCTCACTGCCTCATGCCTGGACTATGACATAGCCTGCTGGCAGGGCTGCCTGACTCCAATCTTTCCCCACTCCAATCCATCCTCCAATCAACTAACAAAGTTATATTCCTAAAGTGCAGGTCTGACCACGTCATCCGCTCCTGCTCAAGAAACTCCAGTGGCTCCGTATCACCTCTAAGATCAAACACAAAATCATCTTCTTCGCATTCAAAGCCCTTCATAACCTATGCTCCCCACCAGCTCCCACCTTTCTAGTCTTCTGACACCATACACCGCCCACTCCAAGCACTCTATGTCCAGTGACACTGGCCTCCTGGCTGCTCCATGAATAAGCCATTCTGTCTCTCTGTTCTGGGTGTCTTCTCATTCCTACCTGGAATGTTCTCCTTCCTATCTCAGCCCCTTGGCTTCCTTCAAGTCCCAACTAAAATCCCACCTTCTACAGGAATCCTGTCTCATCCTTTTAATTCTTGTGGCTTCTCTCTGTTAACTAATCCCAATTTATCCTATAATTTGTCGTCTCCCCTATTAGACTGTGAGCACCTCCAGGGTGTTCTTTTACCTTTCTTTGTATCCCCAGCATTTAGCACAGTGCCTGGTACACAGAAGGCATTTAATAAATGCTTACTGCTGACTGACTTGAGCAACCTACTTTCCCTTCTATTTCCTCCTCTAAAAAATAAAGAGGGCTGGCTTAGATGACTTAGAATCCTTTCAACTGGGACATTCTCTGAAACTTCTCAAGATCCCTTTCAGCCTGAAAAGTCTGTGACTTCTAAGACTGATGCTGAAATCAAAACAAGATCTCAGATCTGCTTAAATGGAGGACATCAGAAGAGAAGCCTGGAAGAGGAGGGTGGAATCCTGGAATCCCAGAGATGGAAAAGACCACCCAATCCACCTAATCCAACTCCTTTGTTGTTGTTATTGAATCATTTCAGTCATTTCCAACTCTCCATGACCCCATTTGGGGTTTTCTTGACTGGTTTGCCATTTCCTTCCCCAGCTCATTTTACAGATGAAGAAACTGAGGTAAACAAGGTCAAGTGATTTGCCCAGGGTCATACAGCTAATAAGTGTCGGAGGCCGGCTTTGAACTCGGGTCCTTCCGAGGGGCCTAGGCCAGTGACTTCAACCACTCCAATCGCAATCCAAACACCCCAGTCCACTCCTACCCAAAGCATGAATCCTTCCTTCAGCAATTCCAACAGGAATCAAGAAACATTTTATCTAACACATGCAGGATGAATGACCCATGGCATTGTGGATCTAGAGAGCTTCCAAAGGAGTCAGGAAGATCTAGCAAATCCTACCAGTGAAACATATTCCCTGTGTGACCGAGGGTAAATTCCTTAATGACTGAGTGCCCCAGACAACTCACTAATAAGATTTTAAGTTACACAGAGTTACAGATATGTGTGGGTGGAAGAAGTTTTCACACCAGGAGTTTCCCCAGATAGATGATAATTACATATTCAGCTCTACCTACCTATCTATCCATCATTCTATTTATATAGATATATATATATATGGTTATATATATGGTTATATATATGGTTATATATATGGTTATATATAAAATATGTATATATGTATATGTATGTGTCTATACATATATTTATACATAGACGCGCGCACGCACACACACACACACACACACACACACACACACACACAGTCATTTCAATTCCTGGAGTATTTATTATTGCTCTATGGGCACAAGACTAAAAAGGAAATGGGCCCCTGCCCAACAAGAAGCACCCTTGTGGAGCTCAGTGATTTTTTGGCTGAGAATGCTCTGGCTGGAGGAAAGTTGAGAGTGTGCTATGGGAGGGACTGAACACTGAGCTACAGAGCCCTACCCATGACTCTCCCCCAAACCTTCAGTATTAAGCAGCCAGCCCAAAGCATTTCCACCAACCCTGCCTTTCAACAAGGCCCCCTCTCTCCCTCACCTGTAGCCCTGAACCTACTCCTAAGGTTCCTATTCCTCAGCCTTGATAGGCATACCTTTCTTAAAAGTTAATCAAGATGTTTAAAATAATAACTCTAATGGCATTGATTTTCCATTTTAAGTTTGCAAAGTGCCTTACATAGATTATGGCATTTGATGCTCACAACAACCTAAGAAGTAGGTACTATTATCCCCATTTTGCAGATGAGGAACTTGGGGCTAGGAGCTGTTAAATGATTTACCCAGCATCATCATATAGCTACTAAGTGTCTGAGGCAAGATTTGAACACAAGTCTTCCAGGTCAAGCACTCTATTCACTTTCATCACCCACCGAGCTCCAAGAAAAAAGGGGGACAGGGGTGAAGGTGCCAGTGTTGTGTGAAGACACAGAGATATCAAATTTGAGGCCCAACATTACCAAGTGCTGCCTCAACCAAATTAAAACATAATTGGAAAATATTCAACAAAATAAATAAAATACAATAAAACATAGATAACATTATATTTTAAAACTAAGTCAATATGCAGCCCACAAGGATCCTTATGTACAGATTAGTGTCCTCCTTTCTTTTGAATCTGATGTGGCTGATGTAAAGAGCCTGGCTGAGTTTGGAGTCCGAAGCTCTAGGTTCTAATCCCAGCTCTGCCACTCAATCCCTGTGTGATACTAGGCAAGTCATTCCATTTATATGGGCCTAGGTTTCTTCATCAGTTACAATGAGAAGAGTAGATGAGGCATTGATCTCTATGGTGTCTTCCAGCTCTAAATCCTATGATGCAAAAAGCCTAAACCCCTAGTTCGTTTAGGTAGTGTCACTTCAAACTGATTTTTGAGGGGGCTACAGCCTGGTTTCTTTCAATTCAATAAGCATTGATTAACAAAGATATCAAAGACGGGTTCCAAGTGCCAGTAATAATGACCACTACCTTCTGATCTGTAGAAAGGTGGTGGACTACATGTGCAAAAAACTGCATGCACTGTCAGATACAATGGTAATAGTGGTTTGTTTCATTTCACTGTTTTTATTTCAGGGGAAGTTTCTCTGGTGGGCAGGTAGAGGGGCTGAGGGCATTAGGAACTGACAGTGACAGTAGTATGAAAAACAACAAAGGAATAATTTTTTAAAGCAAGCAATGATTAAAAGAGCCTACTATGTGCAAGTTACAAAGTGCTGGGGATCTGGAGACCAAAAAACAAAAACAAAAACCATTCCTGCCCTCAAGGAACTTATGTTCTAAGACAGAAGGTCTGTGCCAGACACTGCATTACTTACCTGGCAACGACCCCTCAACCCCCTTCCACCGACCCAGCAAGTGACGCCAAACATACGTCCCCATCCCCAAGTGGACCTGCACCTGTCCTAAATTTGACACCTCTTTCACCCATCCCTGCTGACTACCTGCTCCGCAATTCATTCGTCACGAAGTCCTTCCCGGACTTCCTCTTGCCACTAAACAGGAGCACCAGCCGCGGAGACTCAGCCCTTGGAGCCATGGGACCCCCAATCCCTCAACAACCCCTGAGCAGGTAAACTGTTCAGACTAACCTACCCCAGGTACACATGGGGAGAAAGGGACTCAACCAAACGGTAGGGGGGGAGGAAGGGATAAAGGAGAAATTCTCTCCTCTTCTTGTCTGAAACTGCACAGGATCCTAGGCTCCCAAACGTATATATTTATTAAGCGGAGGAAAGAGAATTAGTTCACGGGGAAGCGAAAGATATTATCACCGCCGAAAGCCTTCTCCTCGAAATACTCCCCCCAGCTTTTCTCTCTTCGGCCAACCCAACCCCGCCCCGGACCGTTCCACTTCCCCGACTCCGCCTCCTTTGTCGGAAGAGGGGCAGGATGAGCATTCTCATTTGATCCGAAGGGGAACTATATAAAAACTTCCGGAAGTAAATTTTAATTTGCCTCCTTTAGAGTTCTCTATACTTTTAAAATATTGAATTATAATGACAGCTTAAGGATATTTTTAGAAACTTTGTCACTATTCGCGTCTTAACACCAATATACTGAGACAAAGTTAAGTTCTCCCCCCATTATATAAATGGTTCATTCTACAGATGATACTGACTTACCAAAGAGGCGGGGTTGAGGGAGGAGCGTACATACGCAAGACATCAGGTTTTGGGGGAGGATTTTGTCTCTCCAATGCTATTGGATGGTAAATTCCAAAATTATAGGATTCTAGAAACAACTACGGTTTGGAAAGCGCTTTCCTTGACTCTGTGAATATTGAGTAATAATCCAAGCATGATTATGTGTGTTGGACAGAGGAGGAAACTGACGCTAAGTGACTTGTCCACGATCACACTGCTAGCCAATAGATTAGCCAAAGAGTCGTTTTTGAACCTCACAAACCTGACCCATTTCATGGACATAAAAAGTCAGCCAAAACTCCATGAAGGGGGAAATAAGTGTTCTAGGGAACTCAATTCAATAGAGGCCATTTATTCCCAAAGCATTTGAAATGGGATAGAAATAAGATGCTAGGGACATGAGGTGACCTATCCTACCCTGGTATCTCAAATTGTTCAACCCAAACCAAAAACGACGCCCTGTTCAAGAGTCGTTTTAGCCTT